CTTTGTAGTTTGCACTCCTACTCAAATTCAACATGGCGGATTTATAAGGGCATTTTTGTTTTCAGTTTGGACACCGGTCACGTGACCAAGCACGCATTCTAGGTCTAATATTTCTATGGGCAGTACCCACCACGCAACTTTTTAGTATTGTAGACGTGTTTGTTTGTATAATGGTAAATTTACAGTTACAACTTTTAAAAGTCGCTTTTCACGTTGTTTGAATTGTCTAGAATCTTTCACGAAGGCAGACAGTGCCCCCCCAAAATGGCGGATTTTGGCGTTCGTAAAAAAGGCTAATAGATATGTAAAAGTGGAAAGCAATCTTGATTTGAATTTCAAATTTCAGTATGGATTTAATATGGATTATGTCCTATAGTCCTAACCACCCGCCCGCCCGCGTCGTAAACGGAGGTAAGGCCGGACCAGAAACTAAAGATTAACTTGTAGTGGCCTAATACAAACATATACAAAAAATGCAAACTTCACAAGGCTATATTTTCCGTATTTTACAACATTTTCGTAACCAAATATTGCAATTTTACTATTTTAATAAGTTCTTTACTTTTTTTGCCTAGATCAAAGATTAGTCTAACATGCAAGTAGCCTGCTGGCAGGCCGTTCCTAACATGCAAGTTGTCTATTGTTTTTAGTTGGAGCTCGAGTTTCTCCTTTTGCCTTCTCTTGGTTTTCTCTATCTTAGACTATCTTATCTGACCTAAGAAGTGGATTACAAGCATATTATACAGAGCGGAAGTGTCCGTACTTTCACTTTCAATTCTTGGAATTTGATATATGCTTAGCAGGAATTTCTACACAGCAAATATTCATATGCACCCTCGAAGACAACAGATAAATTTTCTTCGAATTAGCTTTCCTGCATTTCACCACTTTATACTGAGAAGCCGTGATAGATATTAAGGTAGGTCGATATCTTATTGGATAATCTAGATATCGTTAAAGTTTTGAATATTTGAAGTTGGAATACGGTAGAGCTGGTGTGACGAAGAGTCATGAAACAATCGTCATGCTGTTTGATGCTTTTATTAAACATGCATACATAACAATTTCGAAGTCGGACTGTCTGTGCCAGTGTAAGCCAGTGAAGGTAGTGACAAAAACAAGAGTGAATTTTCCCGACCACGCTACTATAAACTTCTCGACGAAGGGCCATCGCTCGAATCGTTCAAGTTCTGCTTGAATTTTCAAGTAGTTGTATCTTTCTCAATCCTCAGCATACATAACAATTTAATATATTCAATCTTGCATATAACGGTTAACGGTATATATATATATATATATATATATATAGATAATCTTTTAATTTACAAAAATCTGAAAGAACAGCCCTCGGCTTGGTAGCATTTTATTTTTTCGAATGACGTCATTTTGAATTGGAGCGGTTAAATTGTTATAAAAATATATTAATTAATAAATAAATAAAAGCGATGGATTTGTCAGAGTGACAGACCTAAATTTCAAGAGCAATATACTCATAGATAGTCTAAACTGTACAGGCGCTGAGAAGCAGCCGTTATTTGTGTTGAAAGGTCCGTTAATTTCGCCTATAAATGTAATGAGTAATGTATAACTGAAGCACTGCATGCATAGATTTGTCAGTAACTTTAATTTAATTCCACACATTAGCTAGTCACAGACCTAGCCCTTTCTCCCTTAACCCAGCACTTTCCAGACCTCTCACTGGCAGATTTCGTGGTCATTGCCCCGAAGATAAATTGATTAAATGTTGGTCAAATTTGGATAAAAATTGGATAAGAAATTAGTAAAAGTTTGTCTTGATTTGCCAGGCAGAGTAAACTGACATTGTTATAATTCATGCCATGATATATAACTTAATTCCCTGAGATATGACGTCTTCGAGTGCTCTCTAGTCATCTTGTATTCACTGTCGTGTTGATCAAACATTGATAAACAACTGTAGCATATCTGTATATTAGTTGTTGGTGATTGAGTGTAATTTATGCTACAAGCTCGTAAGCTCGTATATCAGTACTGACTATTGTATAGGGCAGCTGAAATGTTTAATGTTCAACAATGTCAATTGTATATTCTGTCATGTTTATAATCTTTTAAACTCTAAAAAGGTTTGCCCAGTTAGAATACAAGAAATGTCAATTTAGGTTGTATTAATGTATTGGCATAGACTTCCAAATTATCTCGTGAATTATGCCCCCTTTATATGGCAAGCATCACTTCCGGTGAAATGGCGGACTGTGATTGGCTGAGAAGCACTTTCAGCGGTCCAAGGCATAATTCCACGACGAGCGAAATATTAAGGTTGAACGCATGCGCAACATGATTTTGGAGTGTTTCTCTGCGAAATATTTCTCTTCGTCGGATAGTTGAATTCGTTTCTACTCCGTTGCGAAATGGAAGTAGCGAAGCCAATCAAATGCTTGTGTTTTGGATGACAAAATAGCGAAACCAATCAAATGCTTGTGTTTTGGCGAATTTTTTCTCTACTGTGGAAATCACTACGATAGAAAATGTTCGCACAAGTGTGTTTTCGAGCGAAATTTTTCTCATTTCGCTCGTCGTGGAATCGGTCCATTGCGTAAAAACAAACGCATGAAATTTGAAACAAAACAGGCAAAACTAATTGCAAATTTGAAAATTATAATTTAATTTGTTATTAATAAGATATGTGCGGATGTTTTTAGTGGAAAAGAAGGAATACATCGGTATTTGTTTTTTCTTCCACCGAATGTGTACCACGTGTTCAAATCATGCATTTCTTGTTTGTTTCGAATATAAATGCCTATATAAATGCCATATAATAAACTTTTTATTAGCCTCGCTTGCTCGGATGTACAGAGAAATAGGATCTCTGTCTTTTTGGGCAAACCTCGCCCTACGTGCTCGGTCTGTAAAAGAGACCTCGGTCTAATATTTCTCTGTAGAGACCTCGCGTTCGGTTAATAAGAAGTTAGTATCCCTCTAGAAGTGCAGTCTGATTAACCAAGGCCCTTTTTACACTGCGCTCAATTTTGGGAACCGTGCGATGTTTATCCTTTGTAAATAGGTAGTCCAAACACGGATACATTTACTTTCTCGTGTGTACAGTTGACAGGTTTTTCCTTGGCAAATTTCACTTGACAAGTTTTGTTGCTCGTGTGCACAGGGGCTTAGCTAGGGTGGAGGGGTGTAACACTCCTCCCATAAAACTTGTCAAAGAAAACTTGTCAAGGAAAAATTGCACGTTTGTACGGGGTTAATACTACTAGTTAATTATAAGTATACCGACACACAATATTTTTAAACTTGCAGCAAAACTGAAATGCTCGCCTGAGGGCTGAGGCTGTTCAAGTTGAAAAACGGAACTTATTTGACATGCCGGGAAACTTCATGTGAAAATTGAAATATATAAAGAATAATGGCTACAGGTTTGGAAATCTGATTATAGTTTTTTATGCAATTGTTTTAATTCTAAATGAAAAACTGTTTTTAAAATCAATCTCGTCTTAAGCGGGATTCGTAAAGCGGGACTCGATACAGTTTTTGAAAAATGGAAAATTCACGATATAGATCCGTATTTTTGAACAATTATTACTTGTTGAAAAACAAAAAGTATCTTAGACTCAGTGATGTTGAAACATGTTGAAAAAATGTTGCTATGCCAACAATAACGTTTCAAGATGGCGAAAATTTTGGCTTTAAAGTAACGTAATTTAACACGAAAACGACATTCGTAACCCTCAAATTTTATTCCATAAAATGATTTCTTTTAGTATACTCATTTATGTTGACAATTTTAAAATAATTCTGTTGAGCCAAAAATAATTTACCGTGCATGAATAAAAACATTAAACGAAGTTTATTAAATAACTTTGTGTT